CTAAATCAGTTGTTTGAAGTCACATGCCTAGAAAAGACTATAACAGAGACTTAAATCCTGATCTGTCTGCCTTAAAGCCCACGCTCTTAACCATTCTGTCAACATTTCTCACCAAACCCCTTAGAGGATCAACTGGAAACCCTACAGGGTTGGGAGGAGGCTTTTAAAATGTGCCAATCCCTGGGCTTTAAATGCAGAAGGTTCTGCTTTCCAAACGAAAAAGGTTCAGGAGCAGGAATTCCAGAATCCACATTTTTAGTAAGTCCAGCAGGTAATTTTTCTATTTGCTGAAGTTTGAGAATCACTAATCTTCCTAGAGTGCCTCTACTTCTTATTTTTTTTACTTGCCAGAGAGCTCGTGTGCTCCCCAGAGAAAGAGAAAGAGAAAGAGAAAGAGAAAGAGAAAGAGAAAGAGAAAGAGGGGAAAACACCCTCCAATGGGGATGTGTTCACACTGCAATACCTTCTGAGAAGTTCTTCATAAAGAGTAAGTCTTGAAGCAATAAGAAGGCTTCTAACAGTTACTGAGCAAGATTTGGGGTCATTAAAAAGGCCTGGGTCCTTTGGTCCTGGATGCAATACACCCACCAAAGGGCAGTTTACTGACCAAAGTCTCAGTAGAAACTCCACTTCTGCAGCAGATACTGAGGTCCAGCTGATAGAGGAACAGTGAGATTAGGGAAATGAGGCTGGTAAAAGTCCAATGCATGGTCTTGGTATATAAAGTCAGAGCTGCGAGGAAGTAGGGATTTCACAGCCTAACCTATCTCCCTTATTTAAATAACCCAGAGAAGCTAAGAGACATGCTGACAGCCATGCAGCTAGACAATGGTAGGATTGAAAACAAGTCTGATTTTTTTTTTTTTTTTTTTCCATAAAGCGTGTATGCTCACTGGAGAAAGACAGAGACAGGAAAAGTGAGAAATAACCCAAAATCCCCCAGAGGATGGCCACACCACCCATTCTCCTCCTCACTTTTCTTTCATTCTCTTTGTAGAATTTTGGGCACAAACTCACATGCACTTGGTATGATTTTCAAGCTGCTGGGTTCAGGACTTGAACCGTATCTATCCATGTGGGAATCCAGTGCCTTAACCAGCATGCCCCTCTGTCTTCTATTCCTACTTGTCACATAATGTTCCCAAAATATCTAGTCTACCACCAATGTCTAGAAATTGCTGACTTAATATTAAACCACTCTGGTACGTTAAAGGGGGAAAAATCAGATCAATATCCACTTTATCCATGTGGGAATCCAGTGCCTTAACCAGCATGCCCCTCTGTCTTCTATTCCTACTTGTCACATAATGTTCCCAAAATATCTAGTCTACCACCAATGTCTAGAAATTGCTGACTTAATATTAAACCACTCTGGTACGTTAAAGGGGGAAAAATCAGATCAATATCCACAGGCTGACTTTATATTAAACAACTCTGGTACATTAAAGGGGGAAAAATCAGATCAATATCCACATTTTAACTTTGACAAACACACAACTATTCGTACATAGTATAAAAATGCCAAATTTTTCCACCAGGAAATAGCAATTTTTCCCCCATGGACAAAAGGCCATTCTGAGGATTCTGAGGGGTAGCCCAAGTCCACAGTCAATAACATTTTATCTAGGAGCAATTTGCTTGCCTGCTCTAGACCTTATACAAGAAAGCTACAATATGTACATTTCCATCTGGAAGGCAGGGGCTTATACTACCAGTTTTCTAATCTGAAAGAAAGAAGGCTTGGGGAGATGGTCACATGGGTGCCTTCCAGGGGCAGCACAATATCTGCAGCTACTTCCCCCTGCCTGTCAGCCATTAGACATATCCTGATTTTCTCACTGTGATTCATTCAGCTTTGGCAGTGACTGCAGCAGGATGCACCTGGGCTGGAGAGTCAGGGGACAAAATTAAGGTCTCCATTCAACCATAGTTTACTATGAGAACTTAGGCAGCCTTCTAGGCCTCTCTGCATCAGCTTCTCTATGTGGAAACAGGGGTCGTATCACTAAGGCTGATACTTTTCATAACCATACTACCTAACAAAATGCTTTAAAAGGGATAAAGAAGGCATCCCAGTGTTTTCTATTGGTCATTGGAAAAGTTATGATGTATTTTTCTATGTTTTTCTATGCAAAAATACATCACGACTTTTCTAATGACCCAAGTAATTTGAACTGTATGGCACTGCTTTGAAATTTACCATTGCTGTCAAGAACCACTAACACAGGTAACATTCCCTGAACAGTGATCATGTGCTAATGCAAATATGATCTGTTTCCATTTCACAGATGCAGAGGTTGAGTATTATTACAGTTAAATGATGTAGTATATAGGGGATTACAAGAATGAAAGAATGAACTCAGATTTGGACAATCTCCAGACAGGCATCATTCACAGTAGATTTTTGTTCCCAGAGAGTATCTTTGTACAATACCATTCTAAGGGTTGGTTGAAAAGTGAGTATGCTCCCGAGGTCTATATTCATAGTCCAACAGGGTGCTCTTGTTTGGTACATACTTAAGATTAAGGTAGGTAGTAGGTCTACCTGATTACTGATGTGTACTCAAGAGGAGGTGGAAAATGGGCCCTGGGGGCCCTCAAGTTGCTCATGGTTTAGAAAAGAGCAAGTAGTTGCTGCAAGGGCAGAATAATGCTCTCCTGAAGATGTCCATGCTCCAGTCCTCAGAACCTGTGACTAGTTACTTTCCATCACAAAAGGGACACTGCAGATATAATTAAGATTATAGACCTCAAGTTGGAGAAATTATTCAGGATTATTAGGGTGAGCCCAACCCAATAACATGAGTCCTTAAAAACTTGACTCACAAGTTCTTCTCAGGCCGGTCTCATAATGCAGTTTTAAACACTATGGGGTGAGAGCCAGATCTGATGTGGCTGACCATGGTTCAAATCCTGGTCTCCAGCAGCTTGAAAAATATGCCAGGTATATGTGCGTATTTGCCCAAGATCTTGATGGGATAGAGGACTGGAGGAACGAGGACTGCGGTATGACCAGGCCTCAGTGAGGGAGACACGTTCTCTGCCTCCTCACTCTCTTTGGAAAGTACTTGCACCCTCTGGCATTAAGAGAAAAAAAGGGGCCTTTCTGGTTGTGGTCAGAGAGAAATGACCAGGGTAGAAGGGTCAGAGAAATATGATGTTGTTGATTTTGAAGATGAGGAAGGGTAACCATGGCCAAAGGAATGTGGCGTTCTGGTTAGAAGATTCTAACTGGTATGCTGTAATTTCCCTCTAGGGGAAAAAAAAAAGATTCTAATTGGAAAAGGCAAAGAAAGAGATTCTCCATTGTAGCCCCCAGAAAAGAACACAGCCCTACTAACTCCTTGACTTTACCCAATGAGAACCTAGTCAGACTTCTGATGTACAGCGTTGTACAATGACCAACTGGAACATTTAAAATTTGTGCGTAGTAATTAGTTATAGCATCCTAACACAACCTTGATGAATGGGATGAGTTGAGATAGACCAGAAAGTAGAAGATGAGGTAAGAGAGCAAAGAAGATAGGTTTAAGGGAGTTGAGGCTATAAGTGTAAGCACAGCCATCTACTGAATAATAGAACTTTCTTTCATGATGAAAACGTTCTATGTCTGTGCTGAAATGATAGCTATGAACCACATGTGGCTATTAAATACTTGACATGTGGCTATTACAGACGAAGGACTGTTTTTAAAATTTTAATTAATTTAAAATTAAACTTAAATAGCCACTTGAGGCTAGTGCCAAGTGTATTGGACAATACAGGCATGGAGTGAGTTGAGACATTAAGACCCAATGCCCCAGCGCGGATGGCCATGCTGCAATCCCTTGACTTCATTCTCCTCTTGATATTTTGGGCATACATGCAAACATACCCAGCATGTTTTTCAGGCTACCAGGTCCAGTCACCTTAACCTCCATGCCAACTGCTGGCCCAAGACTTAGCTTTTAATGTGCCATGTTCTGCACACAATTAGATCTTTATAGCCTCACAATGACCTGAGGTCAGCATTATTATGGTGATTCCCATTTATTCAGTGAGAGAACTAAAGCTCAAAGAGTCTGAATAATACATCCAGGGTCCCAGACTAATAAGTGGTGAGGCCAGCATTCAGTTTGGAGGATTCCAGAGCCAATACTCTGTTCCACAGCACCCTGTTAGCTCTATATCACACTGTAAAATGCCTCTTAGTCACTACCCTAGTCCACCACAGCGAATTGGAAATGCAATGCTGGCCATGCACAAAGTAGAGGCTGCCGTGGGATATAACAGGAGAAGCCAGAAAGGGCTTCTGGGGAATGATATTTACTTCATGTGCTGAAGGCTGAGGAAGAATTGGCTGGGAAAAAGAGTAAGTGGGGTTGAAGGGAGCTCCAGGCAGAGGGAACATGTGTGGAGGTTTATCGTGAGAAAGAACATAAATATTCAAGGAAATGAAAGATCATCAGAATGATTGGAATGTAGACAGGATGGAAGAGAGAATCAAGGGTCAAGTTTGAAAAAATTGGCAGCGGTCAGAGCATATAGGGTCTGGTAGAAGACTGAATGTTATTCCAAGGCTTTAAAGGTTATTCTAAGAATTTTAACTATATACACACACACACTTCTTATGGAAAATAGAGTGAATGTAACCAAGTGTGGATTAAGAAAATATGGTAACTTTATCATTCTCAAGTTCTTACTTTAGAACCCTCCAGGACAACAGTGATATTTGATATAACATGTACTAGTTTATTTTCAAAGTATTTTTTTTATGCCCTGATTTTTTACAAAAATCCTGAGACAAAAGTGGAGATTTGATCGACATTTGCAGATGAGTGAGTCAATTCTCAGAGCAGAGACCTTGTCTTGCCCAAAGTCTCAGCTGGTTAGTGGCAGAGCTAGAATCCATGTTGCCTGAATCTCTTCAAAGAGCCAGTTCAGGAAATGTGGGCTCCCAGGGCCCTCAGCTCCAGCCAGAGCCTTTGCAAAGATGAAATGAAAGCAAAGGTGGTCCTTACCTTTCGGATGCCATCATGTTTCATTTCAATCACATGGAGCGTGTAGTTGGTCCGGCGTCCTTTCTCATTAAACTGCACGTTTCCTGTCAAACCCTCAAATCGCACCTGGAAAACAAAGTCAAATGGTGAACAAGAAACTCAGAAGCTGCATTTTGTTTTGTGTTTCTTTTCTTTTCTTTTCTTTTCTTTTTTTTTTTTTTTTTTCTTTTTTGAGATCAAACCCTCAAATCGCACCTGGAAAACAAAGTCAAATGGTGAACAAGAAACTCAAAAGTTGCATTTTGTTTTGTGTTTTTTTTCTTTTCTTTTCTTTTCTCTTTTCTTTTCTTTTTTCTTTTCTTTTCTTTTCTCTTTTCTTTTCTTTTTTCTTTTCTTTTCTTTTCTCTTTTCTTTTCTTTTTTCTTTTCTTTTCTTTTCTCTTTTCTTTTCTTTTTAACTTTTTCTTTTTTCTCTTTTCTTTCTTCTCTTCTCTCCCCTCTCTTCTCCTTTCTCTTTTCCTCTCCTCTCTCTTCTCCTCTCCTTTCTCTTCTCCTCTTCTCTCTTTTTGTTTTCTTTACCTTTCTGAAACAGAAATCCAGAACCCGAGCACATGATATAAGATGAGATTTTAGAGTAGTCCAAATGCTCTACTCTTTTCCTATGGCAGACAGGAGCATTATATCACCGATCTGGGATTCATCCTTAAAATCATTTCACCCACGACTTTAGGCAAATATAGACAGTGGACCAGAGTGTATACGAATATGAAATCTATGCACAATCCCTAATCAAATACCCGCTACCATACCACTACTGTGACCACCACTTGTAAAGAAAAAAAGTTTGTGTACCATTACTGATTAGTCAAGAAAAGATCTAGGACCAGAAGTTTGTTTTATGATGCCTTAGGTCATGCTTGAATATGTTTTCTTAATTTCTTTTGAGAGCACTGGGAATAAAATACACGAACATCTAAAGACCTAGATTTGACCCTGGCTTTCCCCTTAACAATCAAGTGTTCTTAGGAGAGTTATCTTTCTAAGCCTCTAGTTTCCAAAATTCCTGCCTTGCCTACCTTAAATGACACATTGAATGTGGAAGTGCTGTGGAAAAATTTAAAAACACCTGGAGAGTACCCTTTATATTCAGACCAGAGCATGCAGGATTTTAAAGAAGTTTCAGTTGGTTAAAATACAATTTGTATTGAAATCTCAAAATATGCTGTGTATCTTTTCCATTAATGAGTCAAATAAAACTCCCACAGTTCATATTGAAGGTCAAATGATCAACCCAAGGATCTAAGGTCCTTAGAGCTGAGCCTACTCTTTTGTAGTTACTGATAAATCTCACTCAAGTCCACCCTCAAACTGAAGATGAGTTTAGCTATATAGTCCCTGCTCAGGTACAAGGAACTCCCTTCTCTGGTAGTGATCCGGTGTGTCTTCAGATCCTTCTTGTCAAAGGCCAGTGAGGTGAATCTCTACCAGTATAATTTCAGCCTTGTGACCCAGCACTGTTTATTTTCTGTTACCTTCAAATAGCTGAAAGTGAAACCTTGTTAAGTTTTATGTGTTTAGGACAGTGGCAGGCTCCTCTGTCTTTAGAAGGAGTAATAACTGGGGTATATATATATTTGAGAGTGAAAGCGAGAATGCATGTGTGTGTGCACATGTATCTATTCTGAAACCGACCCTCTCAACATCTTCTGGTTTGAAGTCACAGGGGGAGGCCATGACAGACTCAGAGTGCAGAGTAAATTATACAACAAGCTCTTCACTTTCTCAGATGAAATGTGGAGACATCTCCAGCTCTGGAAAAGTCTATGCTGTCTTTGCTTTTCTGAGAGAAAAGAAAACACAGATCTTGCTGCAAAGAATAAACAAAGGGGCCAATTTCAGTCCATCTGCAACTTCATCTTATTCTCACCTTGGTCATCTCTTACTTGTCTTTAGCTTTCCCATTGATTCAAATTCAAGATAGGGTTGCTAGGTTGGTGGGTACCTGTTTAAGTGACCCATTTGGAAAAACAGACTGAGGGACATATACATGTAGAAGACTGGATGGATGAATGATTTGCCCTGATAAAAAGAAGTGTCATTAATGATCCAAATGAGCATTGATTTTTTTGGTCCCATTCTAGAGTATCAAATTCATCATCAGTATGGATTATTTAATTTCTTTCTTTTTGGAGAGGGTTTTTTTTTTTTTTTTTTCCATAGGGAAAGTGTGCTCACCAGAAAGACAGAGACAGAAAGCGAGAAATCACCCCTCATGGGGGATGGCCATGCTACAATAGCTTCTCCTCCATTCTCCTCTCGGGATCTTGGGCACGAACACACACATGGACATGAATTTTAGCCACTGGGTTTGGGACTTGAACCATGGTCGACTACATGGGAGTCCAACAACACAAGTCATTACACCAACTGCTGGTCCCTGATCTTTTTTTTTTTTTTCTTGAAACAGTTTGCAATACTATTATAGCAAATTGTATGATATCATGATATCTCTATGACTTAGTTTTCTCATTGTTTAATGGGCACAATTATAGTTAATGATGTTTTATGGTTGTTTTAAGGATGAAATGATGTATTTTATGACCAATACTCAGCCCATGGTGAGTATCCAACATATTACAAAAGTTGTTATATCATTATTAATACTGATACTAATAGTACCACTACTTTCTGAGTGTTTCATGTTATGAAACATTTATGTCACTTTCACATGTGACTCTTTATCTCTATTCAGAGGAATTCTCTGAGACATGCTCTTTAGAGATTATAGAGATTATCTTAATCTACATATGAGAAACAAAAACTCTGGTAGATAAAATGATGAGCTCAAGACTTATGACTAACAAGTGGTAGAGGCTGTCTAACATCTAGAGTTTCTGATATTTTCTGGTACCTTAAGATACCAAGTGGCCTTTCAGACAGGGGCCTAGGTTTTATGTGGGTAACATAGAAATGTACACTGTAGTATATTCCTCCGACCTTCTACTGCCACCCACAATTCCTGAGGTCATTCCTAACTACATGGCCACGTGCTTGTCACTAAATCATCTGTTCTTTGGTTTTCTCCTTAATGAACTGATGTGCTTAACATATTGTCTGGGACATAAGTGTTCAATACATGATATATATTACTTGGATGATGATGATAATGATAATGATGATAATTGCTATTATACTGTGTAGGATGGGGAAGAGTCAGGGAAAATATTAAGATATAACACTAAGGACTTGAGTCTGGAGAACTGCTGTTTCAGAGTAGGAACATTTTCAGCAGAAATGAGGATCTTTTCACCATCATTTTATACACCTTTTATATACCAGTAAGGTCAAGGGTCCCACCTGCAAAGTCCTAGTGATCTCAGAGTCCCTTGTCACAGTGTTTGTACAAGAAGCTGCTTATTTGATGTTCATAAAAGCTCAGTGAGTAGCCAAAATAGAGATAATTTTTTTCCCATTTTATAAATAAGATTACTGAGACTCAGAGCTGATGTGATTTGTATCCAGGACTCATAGTAAGTCATTGAGAGAGAGACCTGGGGTTCTGAAGGCTGGTTGGGAAGCCAAAATACATATACATTGAGATAAAGTATCAGGGAACGCAAAAGCAGACATTCCAGAAGCCCTATCCAATGACATCAGAGCAAGGAGAGGTCAAGAGAATGGCCCAGCCCCAACAAATTTATCACAGAGAGTAAGTACTCAGAGGCAGAGGAAGACGTTTCTCAGAAACATCCACTTTGTATAAATATTGAAACTGCTGCCCTCATCCATCAGGTCTGAGCACTCATGCCCCTCCCTCACCCCTGGGTAACCAAGGTCAGACTGATGGAGTCCAGGCATTTCTCCTTGGTCCCTACTCCCAGAACTCCTGTCGCCATCGTGGCGCCTGCCAGCTCCCTCCATGAAAGATGGAGAATTAACCTTGGATTTCTGGTAAGAGGTATCGAGTGCCAGTTCAGTCTGCCACTAGTAGGATGCTAAAGCATATATTATATTTTCCCTGCTAGGTGCTGGGAGAGTGTGGGTTAATGTCTCTATTACTCAAACCATGTTAAAAAAATTATTTGATGACACTTGTTAAAAAGCACAGTAAGAAAATCCTTATTCTGGACCACTGCAATAGGGATGGGGACTGCTACAATGTGATTTTGCACTGGAAAAGAGGAATTGGGCTCAACTCTGAATATAGCCTGGGCAAATGAGAATGAATAGTCAAGGAACAGGGTGGGGGAAGTAGAGGGAACATTACTTCAAGGGATATTAGGGGGAAGAGGGATTCTGGCTGGGAAGGAATAGGGTGGGGGAAGTAGAGGGAACATTACTTCGAGGGATATTAGGGGGAAGAGGGATTCTGGCTGGTTAAACCGACCTGATAGGATCTTGCTGAAGACAGTGCCAGGGTGACCAAACATCACCTGGGAATTGGTGATAGATGAGGAACCTGATCTCGAAGCATTCTTGCTAAACTGACTTAGCAGGGTTCTGTGCTAAAACTAGCTTTTATAAGCCAGTGAGCAGATGAGCCTAAATGAAGGCTTAGGAGCCTGATTAAAGTTTGGTCAGGCAAAGAATCTGTCAGTCATCAATATTGACTCATCTTCCCAACCCCGTTGGGTCTGGAAAGGATCCCTGGGGCAGATCACAAAGCAGCTCTGGACCCAGGCTTCTTTTACATTGCTGCTGCCTTCAGGAAACTTCTTACTCTTGGCCCTTTCTCCTGGATACTCCAGTTGCCGGGCTTGTGGGCCAGGTCCCCGCTGGGTCACATCCCACTTATTCTAGCCAGTATAAATCTTAGGACCTCTCTGAGCTTCTGCCTTCCCACCTGAACAATGGGAAGAATCTTGGTTCTAACTATCTCATGCATTTGCTTTGAGGTGTTTAGAGAAGCATAAGTTATGCTTTTTTATACTTTTGAGCCTTATGACATGCTAGGGAGGCAGATAGTACTAAGAAGATTATGTCCCCTTAGCAGGTGAGAAAATCCAGGTCCAGAAAACTTGTGCAATTAGTCCAAGAGCCACAGACAGTGCTTGGTGATGCCACCACCATTGGAACCCAGCTCTTCTCTTTCTAACTCCCTGTCGGGCTAAGTATGACACTGCCAAGTCCTTGTGGCACCCTCATCTAGTCCCCTCATCTAGTCTTGCTGAGTGTCGTTTATACCCCACCTCACCCACCCCACAGAACCATGAAACCTGAAACCTGACATACTCCTTCTCAAATTCAGTCTTCCTATAAGGCTCACGGGACCATCCATCTCAGCTTGCTTGGGACACTTCCAGGTTATATCTCTTGTTCTGAAATAATTGATAACAGGGCTCCCTTTCACTCTCAGGTGTCCCAGTTTGGATGATAAATTATACAGCGACCCTATTGAAAGGCCAGTCGCATTCCAACGGGAAGTCTTGCTGATGTTCGCATTCTTCAGTGATGGCATTGTGCTCTGACCTTCTCAGCTCAGAGCCCATGTAGTTTGTTTAGCCAGCATTCCACATCTTTCTACTATGGTTTCTTTTTAACTTGTCTTGTTTTGAAATTGCACCTTGTATCATGAAAGGCAGGGACCGTATCTTATACTCCCATCGCTCACCCAGTCCCAGACCCTATCTAACAAAGTACTGGGCATACTTTGGTTTCATTCAGTGTGATTACTGGCTGATAAGCTGTAAAAAACAAAGACCAAGGAGGGTGATGATCACTATTGAGGGCAGATTTTTATTTTTATTTTTATTTTTTGTATGATAGTGCATGCACAGACAAAAGAGAGAGGGAAGCACCCTCGACAGGGTCTTGTCATACTGTGATCCCCTTTCTCCAGCCCTCCTGCCTTTCAGGATCCTGGGTATCTGCGCATGTACCCAGTGTGTTCTCAAGCCAAAACTGTGGGTACCATATGGCTTCCAGCCTTACAGGGCATTTGTATTATTGCTATGTCACAATGGCTGGGCCTGGAGCAGGTATTTCAGTCCAGGGGTCTTGGCCTTCTAGGAGTGTCTATGATCTACCCTCCCCAACACCTCCCACCCCCAACAATCTTGGCCATGCACAAATATTATATATACATATGTGCATTTTTCTGAAAAAAGAAAAAAAATACCAAAAAAACCCCCAAAAACAAAAAAACCCAGTGGCCCAAAGCGCCCCGCTCCCCTTCTCTTCTTTTTTTGGAAAATCATCTTTTCAAATGCCTATGATCTCCTAAATGTAAAAGTCTGACTTGGGGAGTTGGGTCTTTTCTGCCAGCCAGAAACTGACATATGGGCACCCTAATGCCGCCTCCTTCCTGGAGTGTTGAAGGCTTCCAGGATGTGGGTTCATTAATATTCTGAACAGCTCCCTGGATGGCAAACAGGGGGCAGGCAGGCGGCTGATTACATTCACTCTGCTGCTGGGGAAATTACAGTGAAATGAGGGGGCCTGAGAGTGCACGAATATCACTCGAGACCATGTGCTATGGGGGGCTGGGTCCTAGCTCTTCTGTCTCCCCTGCTGGCTGAGCTTCGGAGGCTACAGAGCAGTTAAGTACACAGAGTGAGGTGTCAACTAGTGTGGGTTGGAGTCCCAGTTTGATCACTAGCTGGCTGTATAATTTAGGGAAGTTTTTAACCTCTCTGAAGCTCAGTTTTCACACTCAATAAAACTAGCTACCTTAGGGTATTACATTAAGAAGTCAATGAGATAATACATGCATATGTTCAGAGCCTTGTACATAGTAAGCTCTAACACATTATAGCTGTTACTATCATCATTTTTAGAATTTGACTTCCCAGTATGTTAGCCCTTCCGTTTTAGGCTGTGCTGGGCCCAACTAAAAGACATCTCATCCTAGCTGTGATATAAGCGAAGCCACAGGTCCCCTCCCATTGTGCAACTGTAAAGCCAAGGGACCAGGCAGCAGAAACCTGAAGCCCAAGCCCTGGTTTCCAAGGACCAGATGTAACTGGGATTTACTCAGCCTGTGGTTGGCACATTTACTCCTTGGTGATGTAGCTATTTCAAGAGAAGGGCCTGGAAGGTGAATGGGTAGACAGTGGCTATGACTATGTGTGGAAGGCCCCAGAGGTCAATGCTTACCGTGATTAGGCCTGACCTAGGGCAGGAGGAGCCCTGTATGGGTGTCTAGTCTAGCCTTTGCTATTAAGCTGCTGTGTGATCGCAGAAGGGTGACACTCTGAGTCTACTGTCACATCTCGTGTAAAGCGAGGGAAAATGAGAGTCAGTAATCTCTAAGGTTTCTTTCAGTAATAAACATTTTTGATTTTAGGTTCTTAACAAAGATTTGAAAAGGAATCCATTTAAATAGCTTATCTTAGAGTCAGAATGTTCTGGTTTGGTTTGTTTTGTTCTTGTGGCCTGGCTTTTTAATTTTTTAATTATTTTTATTTTTGCCATAGGGCACATGCACTCACAGGAGAGAGACAGAGAAGGAAAGTGAGAAATCATCCTCCCCAAGGGGTATGGCCACACCACAAGCCATTTTCTTGCATTCTCCTTTCGGGATTTCTGAGTATGCATGCACATGTTTGTAAGCAGCTGGTCTATGACTCGGACTGTGCATTTGGGGACGTAGGACCCAGTGCCTTAACTACCACATCACCTATGGTCTCCCACCCATTTGTAAATTTACAAAAACTAAAGAGAATTTCTTGAGGGCAGAACCTGCCTTTTCTTGTCCCCAGTGCTTGGCCCCAAGTCAGAGCACAGAGCAAACTCTTAGCGAGCAGGGGATGGAAGGCAGACACACCTGCCTTGGCTCTAACACAAAATAAAGACGCTATTTTCTTTTGACTATGGCAACCACATTTTCTCAACCCCTGCTAAAGGCATTAGTAGGAGAATGAATATATTGCATTCGTTACAACCAGGAAGACATGGTCTGGACCACAAGAGGAAAAATTAGGCTCTTCAAATTCTTAGAGTCATTTGAAACTAATGGTTCATCTTTCCAGCCTCTGCATTGTCATGGATGAAGGAAAGTCCACAGACCAGTAGGATCAATATTTCAAGACCACCCACAGAGTCAGAGGCCTAGCTGGACTCCTGGTTCAGAGCTCTTCCTGCCACCCACATTGCCTTTCAGGCTTCATCCCTGTCATGGTGGCGTCAGGATATCTTTTCAGGGACGTCATTATGACGGGAGAGGCAAGGGAGGAGGGGAGGGCTGTGGAGCCGAGGGCAGGTCCCAGGGATCTGGATCATCTGAAACTAGTCTCACATTGCAAACAGAATCTGTCTCAACTGAAGTCTGGACGAGCATTTTAAATAAGCCGGCGGCAGGCGCTGCCCTTTGGCGGTTGTTCTGGGGCTGCCTGGTCTGCTGTTGCTGCCTAGTGACTTGGAGGACATGCTGCCTAGAGATCAGGGGAGGGCAGAAGTCACTGCTAGTAATCCTTGGCCAGTTCCTCCTGTGGTTAGCAGGGCTGCTGCTTAGCTTCCTTCTCATGGACAGAACATTTTCTCCTCTATGTTAAAGCACTGCAGCCAGGCTGAGGAACAGCTGGCGGGGTTCCTTTCTTGTTTCTTTCTCCAGGTTGTGAAAATTGCCAGAGCTGTGCGTGTGTGGTTGGAAAACAAACGAGAATCGCTTTACATTTTGCTCTACAATGCTCCCTCATTCAGAAATGTTCCTCTCCTCCCCTGGAAGCCCAAATTCACTTTCTGGTGAATGCAGTCTTAAAAGTAGAGCTGATTTTTTCTAGGCAACTCCATTGGTTAGGGAGGGGAGGCTCTGAGGGGTATTTGCACCGAAATACCTTGTTTTTGCTGGCTTGCCTTCACTCCTTTGCAGGAAGCACTGCCCTCTTTTTAATTTTTTTTGAAATATTTTTGCTACAGGGAGCATGTGCTCACCAGAGTGACAGAAAGTGAGAAATCATCCCGTAGGGGGATAGCCCTTCACAATCCCTCTCCTCCAGTCACTTCTTGGGATTTTGGGCATGTACACACATGCACCCAGTGTGAGTTTTAAGCCATTAGGTCTGAGACTGGTACTGTGGTTGACTATGTAGGAGTCCAGTGACATACCCATTTTGCCTTCTGCTGGTCCCCAAGCATGGCCTTCTTCAGGTCCCTTTGGAGAATCAGCCTTTCTCTCAGGAGGCCTCAGAGGCATAATAAGGTGCTATCTTGTTGGTAGTTTGGGAATCACAGTCTGCCTCAGTTTGAGGTGCTTCTAGAAACTTCTAGAAGCTCCAAGAGTGATAGAGCTGAAAAAGTTCCAAGAATCTCCTACACCCAGATGTGAAATATTTGCCCATGTGTCTTATAGTCTCATCCTGCATCCCTAGTGGACATACCACTAAATGAAAATTTATCCTTCTCCCTGCTATGTTTGAGTTCAGTCTCAGAATTCTCTGCAGAGCCACTTGATCCCTGTTCTTTAACTACTCTTCAAAGCAAATAGAACTAATGATTGCTCAGAGTGAAGAAGGTAGACTTGGAGTACCGAGAAAAAATTTCAGGATCCCTGTACATAGTAGGTCATGATGAAATGTGCACAGACAGCAGAAGGAATAAAGAAATCCAGAAACCTAGGGCAGGAGGGTTGCTAGGAGTGTGCTAACGTGGTTCAGTTTCACCCCCTTCTATTTCCAGCCTCCTTTCCAAATTTGGAAAATCACTGGACTTCCTTGTCAGCATAATCTCTGAGCTGAAAACATAGCTTTTACACTGTAAGCAATGACTTTTCCATAGTATTGGATTTTTGGTTTTATTTTTGTTTTAATTTCTATGTGCTACATTTATGCTGAGAGTCACCAACACAATGCAGTGGCAGTTCCAAACTTTGGGCATGGTGGTCTATTCTTTTAAAATAGCTGCTTTCTGCCTAAAGTAGATGCCGAAAACTCTTACTAGGTTCCCAGAAGATGAAGCACCATTGCCAGCCTTACCTGCTGCAGAGCTCTCTGGATGTCAATCCCTTGCCCCCAGGGCACAGCTGGATTGGCCAGACAGTCCCCAGCATTGCCGCGGCGGGATATGTCAATCCTCTGCCTCCGCAGGCTCTGGAAAGCCTCGGCCATCACCTTTACCCCGTCGTAGGTGAGCGCAGAGGTATACTGGTAGGAGCAATGGAGACAGGTATCAGAGAGAGCTGATGGGAAGGCAGCCTGGAGAGCTGTGTTTGTAGTTCCAGGTGATGGGAAGGTATGCCCTGGGCCAGGAGCAGGGTGCAAGGGAGAGGCCAGTGAGGAAGCAGGGAGGGCATACCTGCTTCTTCAGATGGGCGCTGCTTTCCCAACTTGCTGTCCAATATGCCTCTCTGGAATTGTGAGGATGGCCAATTGTGACTTTTGAGAAGAGGCTAGAATTCCAGACTTTTGTAATGTGCAATTTGGCAAGTTTTAAAATGTTGGTTCCATGGGGGAAAATGCATAGATTAAATATAACACATCTGCAGGCCAGATCCAGCCCACGGAAAACCAGCTGCTCTTCTTTGCATTACAGTCACCAATTGGGAGCCAAGAGGAATTGTTGACTCCACTATCCCTTGGACAGCAAATGAAAACAAATGCAAGAGTGAGCTCTTATTCCCGTATGTGACTCACCCAAGTGGGTAGGTGTATAACCTATAAACTTCCTGTCACGCTTATTAAAGATACTCTTAGTTTTTTCCTCTCCTAGCAAAAGGAGACTAAGCTGTAGACATGGGAAAACAAAAACAAAAACAAAAACAAACCAAAAAAACCCCAGCATAACAGTACAGAAAAGTATTTCCTGGCTTTGAAACCCATGCCTGTCTTCTTCACTAAATTGTTTCCAAAACCTGGCGTGCTGTCTGGCACCTTGTACTTTCACAATAGAGAGCTGTAGAATGGATGTGAAGGTATTACTCCAATTTTTAACATTGATTTTCTCATTTTTTAAAAACTATACTACATTTTGAAATTGGATAGAGTATTCACATATTAATTAATAAATTCCTGTGTGGTCTGCTCATGATTTTGTTTGCTTAAGCTCATATTGAAATACGTCTTCATTCTTGGTGAGGTAAATCAGTTTGAGCAGCAGTGGATGAGAAGCAGCCCGTTTCTACGGCCTGCCATTTACAAAGAGAAACTGACTGAATGGCAGGAGAATGTCTGCCAAGGATTCACTGCTCGCCCCAGATAAACAAATTTGGCCTCCGAATCCTTCTCAACACAGTCCGCACAGCCATAGCCAACCATTTGATTTGGCATGGGAAAGAAAAACTACTTGCCATCCTTATTCTAAACCGGTCTCAAAGAGCAAACAAAACAGATTTTGGCTGTGAGATTTAGAGCTGCGTTGCTGGGATGTGAGAAGTGAAAAGTCTATATGGTAATTGGGAGCTGACTCTCTGAGGCAGACATTTGCTGGCTTTCCTCAGATTCCCCTGATTTTCAGCTTGGCATGCGACTGACCAGAATAATGGCTCTCTCACTGCACTACTCGAGGGTGTTCCATCCACATCCACAGAGAAATATGCATCCCCTTGAGCTGTGCACCATGCTGGTCCAGCCCAAAATAGAGACAGCATTTTCCAGTTTTTCTTATAGCCAACTGCAGTTTTTTTTCTAAGATGTAGCCAATAATGTATGAGTGGGATATCTGTGTGCCACTTTTGCAAAATGTCCTTAAAGAAAGCAATTGTGTTCCCCCCTCTTTTTTTTTTTTTTTTTTTT